CTGCGCGAAAGGAGAAGAAGAGAAAAGTTCACGGTAAATTGAATGGCAGTGCTGCAAAACAAGACAGTAGCTTAGATGCTTAGTGTATGTTTGAAAGAGATATGCTCACTGGAAAGAGGGATTTGTGCCTTATCTGTTTGTTTAAAGAATGAGCCTTTTTGAAAGTGTTGGCGGTGGTTAGCTCCTCCTGTAGCCGCAGATGTCATTAACATCCGGAATTCATAAGAAAGAAGATAAATTATTATAAGAGTGGATTCTGTGCACTTGCAAAGACCAATGGGTAGCCTTAAATAAACAAATAAACAAAAGCTCATGACTCCCCCCTGCTGGTAAATGTACATATATTTATTTATATTTATATGTTTTTCTGCAAAACTAAAATAAATTCTTGACCATTGTTGTAGCAGGCCACCCTTGAGACTGTAGCTTTGAGCAAACTTCCCAGTAAATTGAATAGCACCACTGCAAAACAAGACAGCCCTGCCGACAGTACTTTACCAAGATTCCTCGGTGTACGTTTAGACGCAAAATGCTCACTTGAGAAAAGGGTGATGTAGCTATATTGGTTGGCATCAGTCAGGAGGGCGCTGTAGGTTGCTAACAGTCCATTTCTATGCTTGATGGGATCTGTAGACATCGGTATCCACGCTGGAGACAGATGTTTTGAGAAGTCTATAGCTTCTTGCACTCTTCGCGAGATATGTTTGCCGGAGGAGGAGAGTCCCCAAGGACCTTGAGTTTATCTTTCATCTCCATCATCAGGGCCTGGCTGCTCTGACAGGCTCTCCCTTTAGCCGAGCTCCAGCCGCACCGCCGTCTCTGGGACAATAAGCAGCACCATGTCTGATTAGTTTCAGAGTTCAGTGGGCCTGAACGCAGCGCTGGTATCGGTTGTTGTTGTTGTTGTTGTGTTGTTGTAGTAGACACCCTCACTCCCCCACTCCATCCTGGTGTGTTTGACAACGGTTGCTGAGGCGATGGAGAAACAGAAGCGTACAGTATCCTGGCAGGCGCACGTTTAGGTCAGTGTTAGGAGTTTAAGTATGTGTTGATGACTGAAACAGGCGTTATGCACTGTTGAGACTGATCATTCAAAAATGTCACAAAGAAAATTATTGTGGAAATATATGAACAATGGAACTTTGGCTTTTGTTGTTGTTTTACCAAAGTGAGTGTTGTGCTCATTTAGATGATATACGTAACACACATACTGCTAACATTAAAATTAAGATATTTGGAGTGATCTGTAGATAACCACATTTGTGATCTCTAAATACTATTCTACGGTGTCCTAAATCAGTGCAGCCCATTGTGTCCCTGTGATGTGCAGCTTCACTTTAAGACATTGCAATGCCCTGCTTTGTTGCTTTGTGTGGTCAAAGGGAGGACAGCATTTGTGTAATTGCACTATCTCTGTCTAAATCTACATTAACAGCTCCCAGTGACAGGGAAAAAGCGTTCTCAAGGTGGAGGTCTCTCTGGGAAACAGGCAGTTCCATGAGCTGTGGCAGGAGGTCCATAGGGCTGACAGGAGTGCACCCCCTTCTATAGAGCCGGCCTTATCTTAATGAGGAATCGCAACACACAGTGCTGTTGTAAAACAACAATGATGTGGGAAGCAGCTAATGAGGCTATCATGGTGTCGGGAAAGAGCCATCTCTCCCCACAGGGCCCCGCGACCCCTGGTGCACAGGGCCCACAGAGCTGGCATTGACTGCACAGGTTGGACATTCACACAGGCTAAAATGAGAGATGCCAGCGCTCATCAGCAGAATCAGATCACAGCGCGGCGTTCTGAAGTGTCTCCGGGACAATTGTTCTCCTATTTGTGGGAGTGATCGTGTTGTGAGAAAGCAGCCGTGAGATGATGTTGTTTGTTTTCCAAAACCTTGGGGAAATTCTTTATGCGTTTGAGCTTGATTGATCAGGCGCGATGTGTTGCTGCAACATTTCACCGGTGTATGTTTCCACTTATACGAATGAGTTACTGCTGGCTGCATATGAGATTATTATTACAAGCTATGTAAATGAACAAATCAACTGTGTATCTGCTTAGAATTCATATACAACACAATCAACACTTAGCTATAGTTAAGAGCACAAACTTACGCCGTACAACTTCTAGAACTCTGTGAAAGATTGTCCAACGCTTTCCCTTAATTTCACACCAAAGGCCCGGGGCTAGCCTTAATTCATGTCACAAATCTGCAAAGCATTTGGTGCCCGTCTCCGTCTGATTTATTGCGCCGTAGTGTGTACTCAGCTCTGTGCTTGACGAATGTGCAAACTTTCTTTTTCTCTGGCGGTTGGGGGAGATTTGTCAGCGAGCAGCCTCTCCCTCTTGACCATTTGCTCCCATTCATCTCATCTCATCTGAGTAAATGACTTGAGAGGTCCGTGATTGAGTGCATGTCTACATCACTTTTCCTTTTTTTTTTTTTTTTGTTTTGTTCTTGGACTGTGGACTTCCAGACCCTCACCCATCCCGTGCGTCTTCCATGTGTGCAAAGCGCGAGCCCCACGAAGCCTCCTTTGCCCCCTACACCCCCTCCTCGCTGGGGGAATCGGCCCTAGCTGACGTCATCATGCCCCAGCAGTCCAGCCTGTGTGTAGAAGCCCGTACTCCCAGCTACCATGGTTCCTGCTACGGCCAGTATGCCAGCCAGCACTTTATAGCAGGTACTATCCCAAATTAGGCCCCGTAATGAACTATGTACAATGCTCTTACTGACCAAAGTGGAAGACATTTTGGTAGTATCTGGTCTCAAGGATTAATTTTTGCTTGTATATCCATATTTTAGAAAGAAGGTTTTTGCAATCTGGGGCAAATCTAAACTACAGTATATCAACTGAACATTTTACTTTATACTTTTATAGGAATGTTTAATTATTCTTAAGAGATTTTTTGGGTTCGCTTAGGTGCTGACCAGTCATAGTAATCAAGGCAATTACTACCGTGTTATGGTTCAGTATAGTAGTTAAAGGTCTTCCAACAAAGGACTATTTCTATTGACTGAAATATCTTTCAACCTGCTCTCAAAGTGAATGTCCTTGCTGGCTTGCCATTTTGATATCAAAATTCCCCCTCAGTAGCAACAAATCTAAAATTGACACTAAAAAAGAACTAAAACACGTATTTGCACGCCATTTCTCCATACTCATTCTGTCATTTCCTATCTTTTTACTGAACTTTACGATTTCCAGGAACATATTTTCCTACAGGCTTACCATACCAAATATAAAAACTTCACTTGATAGCAACAAAACGCTTTCCATTTTTCTTTCTTATTCTATTTTTCCCATCCCTTCTTTGTTATTCATACACTAAACTCTAGGATTTCCAGTCGCATTCAGTAAGAGCCTGATTGACAATAGCTGTGTGGTTCTTGGGTCAGTACAGCCTCGTGACAGCCCTGAGGTGTGGGTGCCACCGTTGGCTTGGCGCACACAGACCATATAGGGTGCTGGTCCTGTCCTGGGTGCCCCTTCGGTCCGAGGCGGGCCAGAGCTGTCACTGTTAATTAGAGAGCTGAATGAGGAGCGCTGGGCAAAGAGGTCCTCCATAGTCCTGATGCTCCTGTCAGGATTTAAGAATAGAACAGCGATTGTGACACAGGCAGTATGTACTTTAGAAAGCTGATGGTTGGTTTTCTCTTCCAGTGTGCCTCTTTTGACAGAATCTTTTTGCGAAATATATGATTCCAACTTCTTTTATTGTATACACTTTTAACAGAACAACGGAAAAGTTTGCTGCTTTAGGCTAGAGAACAATTCCTTACAATTTATTTAGTTTCAGGGCCACAGGTTTACCAGATTGGTCAGATTGGATTGCATTTTGCCTTTGGGTCATAGTAGAACTGTGTGTAGGGTGACCAGATGTCCCTATTTACCCAGGACAGTCCCAGTTTTGAGCCCTGTGTCCCCTGTCCCCACAGATTTATCCAAAACTATTGATTTGTCCCAGGTTTATACAAGAAATGTCCCTGGTGTCCCTATTTTTGACTAATTTGATCCCTGCCAACAGTAAAGAGAGGCATAAATTGTAATTTGTTTAGGTAAAATACAAAAAAGCTGCTTAAAAACGACCAAAACACAAAGAAAATGTGACTATACTGAGTCATGTTAGTCATGAATGGTCTCTGCAGAACAATTTTCCTTAGTTCCGCACTCGTTTCACAATTTTATTTTCGCCAACCTCCAAAAACCTGGGGATATCCCAGTTTTTTATCTTGAAATGCTGGTCAGCTGTAACTGTGTGGTTTGTTGCAACATTTGTCATTGTTCGAAAAAGAAATGTGTCCACAAAATAGACAATTTGTTGTTTTCAGATTCATACTCCCAGATTGGGTATTGTATTGTACTTTCATGAGAAATATCTATAACGAAAATTCACAAATGTTGAACCTGATCGTTTATGTTAGTGGTTAGACTAGGGTGACCAGAATTTCAAAATAAAAAACTGGGATATCTCCGTTTTTTTTGATGGTTGGTAATAATAAAATTGTGAAACAAGGAAAATTGTTCTGCAGAGACCATTCAAAACTAACATGTGAGTCAGTATAGTCACATTTTCTTTTTGTTTTGGTCATTTTTAAGCAGCTTTTCTGTATTTTGCCTAAACAGATGACACTTTATGCCTCTGTTTACTCTTGGCAGGTATCAAATTGGTTGAAAATAGGGACACCTGGGACATTTCTTGTACAAAATTGGGACAAATCAGTGGTTTTGTATAAATCTGCGGGGACAAGGGACACAAGGCTCAAAACTGGGACTGTCCCGGGTAAATAGGGACATCTGGTCACCCCAAGCTAGACTCTATACTGTATTATTTTTATCTGTATCTGTATTAAATATTATTGGCCTACAGAATCCTGTGACGTCATCTGAAACCAACCACTGTGCTAACTTCGTGGTCACTCATGTAAAGAGAAATTGAAAAATGGCAAGCTTGCATTTTGAATCCTAAGTGTAAGTTTTCCATTTCTTTCTGTGTCTTCCAGGTCGTGACATGGCGAGCACAACCTTACCTGGCTACCCTCCCCATGTGCCCCCCACAGGACAAGGCAGCTACCCCACCTCCACGCTCGCCGGAATGGTCCCTGGTAGGTGTCCCTTACTCTTTTTACGACGCCATTAATTATCGCTTTACCACTTTTATTATGAGCAGAAAGTCCCCTTCAGTTAAAAATCTTAAGGTCAACTGCGCGCTAAATATCTCACCTGCTATTCACGATGCATAATCAGGAAAAAGCAGCGGTTCGGTTGGGGGTACGGCTGCGGCTTCGTTAGCTGCTAGCTTCGTGTGGTTAGCGTGCGGTTAGGCGGACATTAGCCCAACTCGATAAAGGAGATCACCGCAATCAGTGGCCGTGAGATAGGACAGTTCCTCTCAGTTACACTCCAGCTCCCAGCGCTTATTAGCTTCCGCCGTGTCCACATGTCCACATACGCGCACCGCTAGCTAGCGCACCAGCCCCGTCAATAAACACTGGTGCTGGTCCGCGCGGCTCTCCCCGGACACCCAGGCCTGCCCGAGCGTATCTCTTTCCCCTCTACTTAACCTGCAGTTCAGGTTCACAGCAAACAGTTAAGGGTCAAAACACAGAGGCGTGGAGGGCCTGTAAATATTTAAATCACTATCTCTCGAAGGGATGAGCTCCAGTTACAGCATCGGCACACGGCGAGGATGCTGCAGCTGCTGCCCGACCGAGGACACATGTCACAACTGAAAAAAATGTTGTTGAAATCACGAAGGGACAAAGGACATTGAGTTGTAATCGTAGCGAGAAAAGGTGTTTGACAAGGGGACGTGTTGAGTTTGCTTTAGCGTAGCAGTGTTGTTGTGTAGCATAGAGAAGTACTTTTAGGTGGTTTTAACAAACAGCATCAGTTCTTCCAATCACAGTAGTTTATAGTTTTGTTTTTTTTACTCGTGTTAGGATTTAAAACGCTGTTGCTGTATAAGAAATGCAGTAACTTACCATAACACTGTAGAGAAAAGTACTTAAAATACTGCAATGCACAAAGTGACCTTTCTGTACTCATTTAACTATTTAACTGCTAACATCATTTCTGTATGATGAACAGTCACCACCAGCCGTATAAGCCAGGGGCGTCAAACTCAAATTCACAGAGGGCCAAAATTAAAAGCTGGGACTAAGTCATGGGCCAAACTAACTATTTATTGAAAAATTTCAACAACATCTGCATGTTTTCTCTTCTTTAGAAATATGTATTGTTAAACCTTTTCTTATTAAAATAAATGTTTAATAATAGTTTTACTTAAACATTGAATCCAGAACAAACAGAATATAAAATAATAACAACATTTTAAATAAATAATGTCTCTATCTGTAGCCAGCTCCAATATATATTTGATATGATCTCACGGGCCAAATATAATTATATCGCAGCCCAAATTTGGCCTCTGGGCCTGAGTTTGACATGTCTGGTATAAGCTATAGTTTAATACTTAAAATACTGCAAAGTACTGCAAAATACAAATAGGCTACCACAAGATTTTAAGCGCACAGCATCAGGCCTTCAAGTTATACAGTTAGAGTAGTTTACTCTTTTTTCTTACTGTTTTAAGCTTTCAAATATCATTGCTACATGAAGTACAGTAACTTACCGTAAAAAATAGTACTCGCAAATAATACTTGAAATATTAGAATGTGCAAAGTTTTGTTTTTGTTTTGTTTTTTCAAAAGTGACAAGGATTATGTCTGTACTGTGCGAATACAGATCGCACTGCATACATTTACTGTGAGAAGAAGCAACTCACTGAAAATGTGTGTGTTATTCAAAGTCTTACAACTTAGACTTATCTGTTTTTGTAGATATGCTGAAGGCCTATATGCTTCTCTTCTCAATATGAAATTACTTTGTTGGGCCTACAGCTGTATTAGCGCACATATTACCAGTAGATATGAATATTTATGTGACTGGATTCAGATTCTGAAGTACAACCCTGTGCTACACAACAAAATTAACGCAATTTAAATCCACAATATCCTTTATATTCAATTACTACAGTAGTGGCACAACTACATCAATACTAAACCTTTTTATCTTCATGAAGACCAAAGCAGACCAAGTTACAGGTCAGATCTGTGGAGTGCAATGCCGCTCACAGTCAGAATGCATGTTTTTTCAGCATTTCTGAGCTATAAAACCACCTGTAATTTAATAAATGTAATGTATTTAATAAATATAATGTAGAGATGTTTTAAGTCAAACTGTGGAATATTCCAAGCAGAGCAATGACATATCCATAGAAACAAGCAGGTGACGGACCCCAAACCAAAAAGCTACACAGTGCACCTTTAAATCCACAATATCCTCTACATTCTTTTACCACTTCCCTTTTTTTTTACGGTAGAGGGACAAATACATTAAACACCTCCTAATTATGAGGACAGAGCTGATAGCAAACAGTGAGGCAGAACACTAAGCAGCTCTTATCCGCTAGTGCTGGATTCCCTTTTCATCTCCTGTCCAACTACTTCGATTTACCGTGCGGCCCCCAAACACTGTTAAAGCAAAGGCCATTCTTCAGCCGACCCATATAAAACCTGGCCTTTATAGTCTCGTAAAAGAATGAAACGTGTGGACCCACAGCACTGCGCCTCCTCCTGCCCCTCTTCTAATGTGCACAGAGCTGGGTTAAGACTAGCAAACAAGATCTGGAGAAAATATGACAGTGTTTTCATGTTGAAGTTCATTACGGTAAAAGGATGCATAGGTTCAGGTTTGGTATCAATACGCACAAAGACAATACGTAATCAAACATTCAAACATCACTACTCAGATCATTGCTGTTTTGTTCCGGCGATTGGAATTACAGTTCAGAATTTATTGTAAAATTCTTCGGTTTTAAATGTTTTCAAATGCAGCATAGGATCGTGGTCATGCTTGTGTTTCAAACTTGATTTTAATACTAAGGAATTGACTCAGTACTGGACGTCAATTACAATATCAATTGAAGATGAAAAATTTTACTTTTTAAATAATATCATAACAATTTTCTACACAAAATTAAGTTATTATGAGGTCTTGTATCCGTTCCGATAACCCTCAAATGCACACTAAAACAGTTCAGGATAGATAAAATTTTGTCTTGTAAATGTCATTTTTTTGTAGTGTCAAGACTTACTCAAATTAATATTTAGTTTTATTCCTGATAATTTGCCAACCCGAGATCATGTATTTAATTTCACTGTAACAAGACACTGTATTTCACCTTAATATCTTAACACTTGTGAGACTTGGATTATACAATAGTACAGTTTTGCCTATATATAATTGTACAGAGACACAAAAGAGATATTATTACTGACAAGGATTTTTTTTCTTTCAGTGTTGAAGAACTGACATAAGGCAGAGTTATATGAACTTGTTATTTAGAAATGCCTTATTTATAATGGCCCTGTTTGTGTGTGTCTTCCAGGAGGAGATTTTTCTGGAAACCCTTACTCTCATCCGCAGTACACCACATACAATGAAGCATGGCGGTTCAGCAATCCAGCATTACTAAGTAAGTGGAAATAAACTTCTATGTAATGCAGTGTTAGCTTCTGTTAGTGTCCAAATGTTAAGCATTGTTAACAATTTAGAATTTTTACTATAAAAGACATAGCATTCAGAAATAATAAAACATGTGTCCAAGTTGTTTTACTGGTCAAAGCAGTATAATTCTGGACATGCTCCTTTGTTTAGATGATATTTTTGATCACTTACATATATGTATAAAGTAAAATTTTAAAACACTCTATATTTGACTAACCCCAGCTAAAGGTGTCTTCTCAGAGCAGGAGCTGTGTTGATTCTATGTCTGACCTCATGGATTCCAACGGCTCGTTCTTCTGTTAACTTTCAGGTTCCCCTTATTATTATAGTGCCGCATCCCGTGGCTCCGCCCCTCCCACTGCTGCCACTGCCTACGACCGCCACTAGTTACCACGGCGACCAGCTCAAACTGCAGGGCCACGGCTTGGGCCTCCATATTGTCCCCGTCTGAGCAACACTTGAGGTCAAAGGGAGGCAGAGGAGCGGAACGCATTCACGGACGCAGTGGTCATGTGACTGGCAATGAGGAAGGAGGAAGGAGGACCAGATCAGCGGCGCCTAATTCACACTTTGGGTCTAAATTAAAGGGGAACTGCAAGTGACCAGACCTCATCGCTCTCTCAAAGGCCCGAACATTTCCAAGAATGACTTTAAGAGATTATATAAATATATATATTATAAAATATTAATTGAAGACAAACAGTGTGAAGAATACCATGTGGAAAAATGTTGTGGGTTTTTATTTTTGTTTCTTTGTTGCTGTTGTTGTTGTTGTTATTTTATTCATAGTTCTTCACATTCCTGTACACAATTAAGCACAGGCTGTATCTGAAACTGCTGCATAGTCACCATATGTTGCTTTAGGGTAGTTATACCACTTTATAACTACAATCATTTGGAGCGAGCTTTGCTACTGTGACCAAGAATCATACAGTAGCACTCAAATTACTTAAACAGAATTTGTAAAAGCGTAAAATCAGTGTATTAAAATTAATTTATAGCTGGAAATACTGCTTTACCTACCTCTGGCCTATTGAATATTAGCTCATCGAAACTATCCAATCCACTACATCTTTCAGTAGTTGATCAAAATAGTTTACAGCTAAAATGTATGTCACAAAAGTCGAAAAACCGAATCTCAACCAGAACTTCTAACTATACAGATTTCTTAATGTTTACCTTACGTTAACAAAGGACCTCCCTTTTTAGCAGTGTGTTAGTGACTCTGGAGTGGTTTCAAACACAGCCTGAATAATTTTGTGCTCAAATGCGAGAGATGTCCAAGGGAGATGGTTCCATTGATCAAACTTGAACCAATGTTGTGGATTCCCAATATTACAATAATAATTAACCAACGCCAGCCATAGCCAGCCCCATTGGCTCTTCTGGTGCATTGACTAGCCTACATCTGCTCTCATTCCACACCTGGCATGTCCAACGGCAGCAGCATCCTCCCTGTGGCAAAAACAATCACGTGTAAAAATGTAATGTATCATTGTCGAAAACCACCGTAGTTTTCCCAGAGTTTAAATTATTTTTGTCATGTAAAGATGTCTGAACTTTTCCTTCTCATTCCATCCATGCATGATTTTTTTGCACTATAACTTCTGTTTTTTTTATACATTCACACACATTTACCTCTCTAGCTAATTTGGAAAGTTGCATCAGGCTTGATTACGTCAAACTGGACCTTTTTGGACATAACATTTCTTAGCTGACAAATTTTAATCTAATTCATTAAACAACAAAGTCATACCACTAGATGCCTACACAGTTAAAGGTGCACTGTGTAACTTCTAAGGTGGAGGCTCTGCTACGTGCTTGTTTCCATGGAGATGTTATTGCTTTGCCTGGAATGTTCCACAGTAGGGTATTAAACATATCTACCTTGCATTTGTTCAATTACAGGTTTTCTAGCTCAAGAATATCTTAAAAAAAACATCAATTCTAACCATGTGTAGGCTTGCTTCTCCATAGATCTTCTCCATAGGTCTGAAACAGTAATATCTCCATGGTGACAAGCAGGTGGCGGACTCTGTACCGGAAAAGTTACACAGTGCACCTTTAAACAAGCTTCTACAATTGCCTTACAAACCCAATTTCTTGCCTGTTTAATTAGTTCAATTCCGTATTTGCCACCTCCCTACGCAACACTTTCTCCTTTGTTTGTTATTATTTGTTGTGAATGTACTTTTACTACATTTGCCAAAGACTTAGTTTGATATTTAATATTTTATTTACAGTATATGTATGCATAAATAAAGCAGTATTATCTTTTAAAATACGTAGTCAAACACTGAACTTCGAAAACACCACTTTTTTGACTGAAACGCTAGCGTCACTTACTGTACCATCCGATGCTGCTTTGTAGATTGATTTTGTGAATAATGTGAAGACAATTTCTTTTTTTCTGTGTAAATAATTCCACCACTACAGTATCACGATGTACTGGCTCCCTTTGTAGATAAAACTCACTGAAAAAACATGCATTACTTGTGTCTCAATGTTCTAAGGTATACAGTCCGTGCTAGCAGGGGCTGTCCATTTGTTGTCCATTTGATTTGAATGTCATAATGATGTTTTATGTCACTATGCAATGAGTTTAATGGCTTTCTGTATCATTGTTTGTGGTTGGGCTCAGAAATAACAGAAATATTCCCCAAGGTTTTTTTTTTTTTTTTTTTGTGGAGGAGTTTATAAAATGCGCAATGTGCAAAATGTCTATTCTCCGCTTCAGTTTGTCCCTCAAGTCAGACGAGAGCATGGCCACATTCACATAGACTGTAATGGTTGCTTATAATACTGTATTTGTGTTGAAGATGGAGTAGGAGTTCTGTTTTTAAAAAGCCATAATTGTAAAAGGGCCAACCCTACTCGTCATTACGGAACACGGTAGCACAGTAACTTTGAGAAAATTCTTGTAGCAACACAGAAGTTTGTCCACTTTGGGCACCAGTAGAAACAAAACAATGCAATTCTATTTGTCTCGCCATTTTGCTAGACAGATTTTCTTTCAGCAACAACAAAAAAGCCTACTCCAGCTTTAACCTATGATGAGCAGTGATCTGTGCTTCCATGTAAATTAAGACTATCCCATTCAAGACCCATTTTCTTGTCAATTTTCTCCGGCTCCCATCAGCTAAAACAATTAGCATTAGCATTAGCATTAGCATTAGCAAGTCCAAGCTCCATTCCACACACGTGATTCCAGGGTTAACCAGTTATCCGTCCACAGTCGCCCCAAGAAATTCCATCCTCTCCAGAATTTCACTTGGGATTCGCCTATTTCTGTCCACACGCAGCTCAGCAAACCTGGAAACGAAGAGCTCTGCCGTCATTCAAAGCGAAAGTGGAGCACCTCTGAAGGAATCCGGCGGTTGTAAAGATGATACAGGAGATGTGTCACGGACGTGAAAAGGATTTCTGATGAAAATCTGTACGGAAAGCCTCATGGCCTCAATCATTGTTCTCTTTTCTGTTCCAATTCCTTTTGTGCACATGAGAAATAAAATCTTTTATATGTCAGTCGTTGACTTTGTGTGCTCTCATTATTAACCCCATAACAAAATGATATAAGGTTCAAGGATCCTGGGAGTGAGACGAGGATCTGGGAGGGAGATGGATAGATGGAGTATTGATGCTGCGTTTTATGAACAAGATGTGCAGGTTATGGTTTTCAAATATGGAACATAACATAACAGGGTGTAACGTGAAGGCATGTTGGACACACTACATTTTGACAGTGTTTTCAGAGGGTTCAGACTAGTGGTGTAAGAAAAAAAAAACGATTCAGAGATAGTATATCGTGATACTTCATTGCACAATTCTCAAATCAATTCAAAATGCATTCAAAATGATTTTTATAATATTTTCACAAAAATTCAGTAGTCACATTCACTGTTCTCATGATTTAAAAATGTAATAAGTTATATTTCATACTGTTTTGTTCTCATGAAGGTGTAGTTGACTATAGTATTAGAATATTAATAAATTGCAATATACTGTATCATCCATTGTATTACTATCGGGACATTGTTTTATTTATGCGTTTAATACAAATAAGGACAGAAACAAAGGTGAATCTCCACAGCCTGGAAACAGATTTAAACAGGTCTATATCATGTATTTTAACATTTAGGTATTACAATGTGATGTTGAGAAATAGTTGTCTGTGTCTTGTCCTTTCATTTTTTGTTTTATTGTTTTTAATGTTTTCATTTAATTATGTTCTGTAGCACCTTGGTCAATCTGTGTTGTTTTTAAAGTCCGTTATAAACAAAATTGCAGTTGCAGTGGCATTTAACACAAGTATTAAATAATAAAAATTAAACATGATTTTTAAGTTTTTGTGTATATTATCATTAATTCATTCTGCTATTCTGGGCCAACGGTCTCTTGGACCACCACTAACTCATTCAGAGATGTGGAAGTTTCTCAAATCCAAGTTCTTGCCATCAAAAAAAAAAAAAAAAAAGACATGAAAGAGATGGAGATGTTAAGTAAAGCAAAGGGTAATAATATTGTATGTATATGTTTAATAGAAGAATAATGTAAAAGAAAACAAACAAAAAAAAGTGAATTTTACATATCTTGATGAAATGGGGGTTTCTCTTTTTTGAACATGTATATAATTCCTTGTATATATGAATTACGACTCCTCATTATTGGTTGGTTTTCTTTTGCTTTTTGTTATGTTTTGATACTGTTTTTTTTTTTCTATGCATGTTTGATTTTCGCCTGTATTTGCAATTATTTGTTGTGACTGTACTTTTACTACACTTACTACACTTATTACTGGTTTGATATTTAACACAACAAAACAAAAATATTGCACACTGTTATCTGGAAGTGAACCACAAAGTCTGTCTGCAAAAAGTCATATCTAGACAAGCTAAAATTACTTCAGTGACTTTTTACTTTATTTGAGTAGATTCAACTTGATGACTAAAATGATCTAGCAATGGAATAAGTGTGTTTTTCTTAATTCAAGCAACATTATATTCTGTTTCTTATTTCAAGTGCAAAGAGTTGTTGTTTTTCTTTTCTTAAGTGAAGCAAAGATGTATTTTCATATTTTAACTACAAAAAGTCTTGTTCCATTGGTAGATCATTTTACTTGTCAAGTGAAATTTACTCAAGTCATTATAAAACTTTCTTAATTTGGCAAGATTTAAGTTTTTGCAGTGTTGTCTCTTGTTTGGTTTCTAGGAGGTGGAATGTATGAATTCTGAATATTCAATTGGCTAAACATTTAACCAATCAGAAAACAGGTTAGAGCACATTTGAACCTATTTATATCATAGATGTTTTTAAAGATGATGTCCCAGAACTTTTCTCCTTCTACACACTACACTAAAAAACTAAAATCTAGCCAGTTAAGATGACTTGAATTAACAGTTTTATCATGCTTTGAGTACATTTCACTTGACAAGTAAAATGATCTACCAATGGAACAAGACTTTTTGTACTTAAAATATGAAAATACATCCTACTACACATAAGATAAGAAAAATAACAACTCTTAAGAAACTAAATCTAATGTTGCTTGAATTAAAGGTATACTTCACAACTTTTCTGGTATGACATTAACCATATTCATCTATCATTTATTCATTACGGGAGTTTCTTTTGCTCAAAAATACATTTGTTTCTTCTGCGAATGGTGCGACTCTCCACAGATGTGAATCATAATGGTGCGTAGTGCTGTAACCTGCTTGTCTCCTTCATGATAGATAGGTTTAATTTATACTGTGGAACATTCTAGACAAAGCAAAAACACTTCCATGGAAACAAGCAGCTG